AGGGGCCCTCTGTCCCTCTGCCTTCTCGCACGGTGGTGAAGGGGCCAGGAGCATCTCGCTGTCTTTGAGGGGCGTGGGGGAAGTGGGAGCCCACTCCTGGGTGGCACCGGGGCTGTGTGGCCTCCTCTCCTCCCTCTCGGCGGGGGACAGGCGGGTCAAGCAGGACCCATGACCCAGGCCTTCTTGCTTGGCATGACCGAGTTCAGCCAGCTGCCCTGGCCCCAGCGCCTGGCCACACCCTGTCTGTCTCTCCCGTGTACACTTGGGCCTTCTGTGCCAGGACGAGGGGGCCCCAGAGGAGCACTGAGGGGCTGGAGCTCAGCCCCATCCCCCCGCGGCCACTCCCCACAGGTTTGTGTGTGGGGTTGCCTGGTGGCACAGCTTGTCTGTCTTGCACCTGCCCTCTTCCAGCATCAGGTGCACTGTCCAGGTCTGGCCCAGGCTGTATGTACCCTCTTCGCTGGCTCCTGCCTGCGCTCCTGCTTTGGAGAACCCCACCCCTCCTTCCCCTGCTGAGTGCTCCTGAGGGATTTCTTTTTGAGCCACTGTCCCCCCAACCCTGGTCTGTTCAATTCAGGAATGGCTGTGTAGCGGTTCGCCCCCTTGCAGAGAAGGAAGGGCATTACTAGCAGCGGGCAGGGGCACCTGAGGGATGGTCAGGCTGGGAGGACCTAAGTCGGACAGTTAGGGGGTGGGCAGGTGTGGAGGGGCCAGCCTGGAGGCCTGTCCTGCTGCAAGAAGGGGGAACACAGGCTCCCAGCTGTGCTGTCTCCTCTGGGCTCCTCCCGCTGTGGCTACTGTTGCAGGAAGCGGCCGCCTGGGCAGCAGCCTGTGTGCTGGGTGGAGGGAGGGTGGTGGCTGGCAGGGGCCTAGACCAGGAATGTGTGTCCAGGAATGTGGCTGCTCTGCCCGCTGAGTGTGGGGTGGGGGACAGGGCTGGAGGCCTGGGGGGGGGGTCCCTGAACACTTGCAGGTCACACACGGTGGCTTCTGCCTCTACTTGGAGTGGGGTGGTGGGGTCTTGCCCGAGTCCCTCCCTGTGGCTACCCACTTTTGCCTAAGGCCCCCGCCAGGGGAGGGAGCCCACGGGCGATGAGGTCACCCTTGCCTGTGGCTGCCCAGAGCCCTGGCCAAGGAATCCAGGGGGGAGGCTCTGGGGCTGGCACCACTTCAGTGGAAAATGTGAAGGTGCAGCTCTGGCGCCTCTGAGGGTCGGGGAGGCGGGGGTGCAGTGCCGGCCGCCATGCCACGTCCCACCCCAGGGAGAAGGCGTGAGTCAGGGTGCCTGGGTGCTGCCCCGGCTGGTGCCTCTACTTTCACCTCTCCCTCTTCTCGTCTGTACCTTCTGGGGGGCTTGGAGGGAGGGGTGGGCACAGGGGGTGTCCAGTGCTGAAATGCTGGCCTCCTGCCCCAGGACATCCGAAACACAGTGGGCAACGTGCCCTTGGAGTGGTACGATGACTTCCCCCACGTGGGCTACGACCTGGATGGCAGGCGCATCTATAAGCCCCTGCGTTCCCAGGACGAGCTGGACCAGTTTCTGGACAAAATGGACAACCCTGACTACTGGTAAGTGGGCGTGGGGTGGGGCCCGTGGCGTGGGTGGGGCAGGGAGCAGGGACATGGCTCTGACAGGCAGCCCCCAGGCGCACGGTGCAGGACCGGACGACAGGTCACGGCATGAGGCTGACGGACGAGCAGGTGGCCCTGGTGCGGCGACTGCAGAGGGGCCAGTTTGGGGACGTGAGCTTCGACCCATATGAGGTAGGTGGCAGTAGCCAGCCCAGGGTCCTGGGGGTGCCCTCGGGGCCCTGGCCCACCTGCTGCTGCTCATTCCCCCAGCCGGCTGTGGACTTCTTCAGTGGGGACCTCATGATCCACCCAGTGACCAACCGGCCTGCGGACAAGCGCAGCTTTATCCCATCCCTGGTGGAGAAGGAGAAGGTGGGTGCCGTGCTGCCCTCCAGGTATGGAACCCCACCCCTGCCCTCACCTGCCCACCAGCCCTGACCCCCATCTGTGCAGGTCTCCCGAATGGTGCACGCCATCAAGATGGGCTGGATCCAGCCTCGCCGGCCCCGGGACCACACCCCAAGCTTCTACGACCTGTGGGCCCAGGAGGACCCCAATGCCGTGCTGGGGCGCCACAAGATGCATGTGCCAGCTCCCAAGCTGGCCCTGCCCGGCCACGCAGAGTCCTACAACCCACCTCCCGAGTACCTGCCCAGCGAGGAGGAGGTGGGCCTGGTGCCGGGAGGGGTCTGGGCCCTGGCTCTTGGCCCTGGCTCCCTGCTCACTCCTGCCTCCACAGCGCCTGGCCTGGGAACAGCAGGAGCCTGATGAGAGAAAACTCGGCTTCCTTCCACGCAGCTTCCCAAGCCTG